GGCTCAACGCCAAACAAAGCAGGGAAAAAACGCTCAAAAAAACTATGAACACGTTTAAAGGCTTCTTCTTCAGATTCCGTGTTTTGAGATATCAAGCACATCAATGAACGCATTGAGCGTTTACGCGCCTCTTCACGACACCTTTCTAAATCTGGAAAGATGGAATATTCTAATGCTAGGCGCTTTTTTGTTGCAGTAGACCATTCTTCCAATAGAATATTTAGAAATAAAGAGACCAGTGGCCACTGACGCACAAGTTCATCACTTTGAGGATGTGTCACTATAATACAGAAGCGACGCTTTTCACCGCGGGCTAAAATATCTTCCAAAGAAAAAGACATACCGGCAATTCCTCCGGCCAGTGGATCCAGCATTAGCACGGATTCTTCATTAGATTCATTTGAAGCAAGAACACGTGCGACAACGGCCTTCATCCGCTCCTTATATTCTGGACACAAAGGTCCACTAATCACTCGAGCACTAAGAAAAGTCTTTCCACACACAGCAGAAAGGCGTAACAAGTGAGGTCCGAAAATATCCACTTCCTGATATGCATAATATTCTGATACACAGGTTGCCTTAGCCCCCTCAAGAGCGTCAAATTCCCCCAAAGTTACCATGGGAACACTCCAAAATGCTCGCGACATTGGCTCTATATAAATATTAGTGAAGAATAAAAAGAAAAATAAATAAAAAAGTAGTATGGGAAAGAGCAAAATAAAAGCCATTATTGCATTTTTTTTTTTTTTAGAAAATGCATATGCTTATTTATTAGTCATCAAAATATTAAACAAAATATTTAATTCTCCTCTCTAATTTACTCGCGTATTTGCGTTACCAAAATAATAAATAAATAAATATTATACACATAAAAAATAAATTCCAAAAGGATTTCTCTCTTTTATTTTATTTTATTTTTTTATTTCCATCCTCGTTTACAATGAAAAGGCTGAAGACCACGTTAATCCAAATTTGACGTGTTCAAACAGATTTTTATTGCCATTTCTCCAGGTAACATTTCCGCTTCTATCAATACCTACAGGAATTGAGAAATTCAATTCAAAGCGTCCGCTAGGGGCAACACCAAACAATGGAATTCTGGTTACCACCACACCAAACCCTACTGAGGCAGCAGAAGAGCGAAGCCACTGGTAAATGTCCAAGAACTCTGATTGATATCGTATCATTTTTAAATTACCCAAATTCGCAAAAAGATGCATAGCCGCTAATCCATTATGAGGAAAGAAGATAAATGGAAAGTTTACACTAATTGATGTCGCCCAAAGTGCATTACCGCCTGTTGCAGCAAATCGACCCCCTTCTTTTTGAATAATATCAAGAGTTGAAGGCCCCACACTTTTAAACCCACGAACATGACAGTTTGAAAGAAAAAGCCGGTCGTTTAACGGTATTCTAGCCTGTCGATAAGACCATATACCCGCTAATTTAGTATTCCATTGAAAACTACAAAAAGGTCCAAGCGGCCAATATTTTGCTGCCTGTATTTCTGTTTTCAAAAACGTAAATTGACCTCCAAAGGGACCGCCAGCGAGCTCATTTTTTATACTTATTTGGTTTCCTTGTATTGGTAAAGGATACATGTTAGATAAAAAAGGATCCGCATGATATCCTGTATTCGATAAAGCCAATTCATGTCTCATATATCCTTTAAACGTAGTAGAAAAGTCATTTAAAAGATCTAAATTTAAATGTTCTTTTTCCTTTGAAACCAAAAGTCTTCGCTGAAAGCCAACTGAAAACTCCGAAAAAAATCCTCGCTTTTCATTCTTTGCAGTAGCTCGAATTTCTTCTATTCTTTCACTACTAGCGGGGTGATATATCTTATTTTCAGTCCGTTTTCCAATGTAGTACTCTCCCACTTGTCCCAAAAATGGAACATTGGAAAGAATCGAAAAGGATGCAGCATGAGTTCGTGATGTTGGAGGGATATAGTTCCCAGACAATGTGTACCTACCTCCAAGAATATTTTCTAAAGAAATAGTCAACTCCGGAACTACAGTTTCAGTTGTAAAGATGCCAAATGATTTTTTAGGTTTGGACTCTTCAACATCTATGTGGACACAAACATCGTTGGCTTCGCCATCGTAGGTGGGCTCTAAATTAAAGTTTACTGAGTTAAAAACACCCATTTGTACCCATCTACTCTTTGCTTCACTCATGTTGCTCGTAATTTCAGTTATTGTCCTTGAGCGTTTAATAGCCTCAACATCACGACTTATTACGCGAGGATGAATTCTTTGAATTCCTCGGATACGCACATGGGTACGTACCGGCAAATCCATGACTTTCTCAATATCTTTTTCCGTTATTTTTACTTCCTGTGAAAATACGGATGCATTCTCTTGATTATTCATTTTTTTCTTATTATCTGCCCTCACTCCTTTGAAAAAAATTTTATGGGGCAAAGAATATGAATATCAGGCTAAAAAGAAAGAAACAAAAAGGAAAACTTTGGCACATTATAATTCAATTAATATTTTTTTACCGAGCAATTAATAATAATAATAAGCTTTGGCACAAAAATATTCAATTAAATTCCATACATATATGATGGCGAAAAACAATACATGGCAAAAGATAAACTTCAAGAAAAAAAAAAAAAAAAAAAAAAAAAAAAAAAAAAAAAAAATAATAATAATAATAATAATAATAATAATAATAATAATAATTTATATTTTATTTTCCTTGTGCCAACAGAAAACGTAATTCAGATAAAATTCTTTTTCCAAATTTTTTTTTTTCACTCTTTTAAAGCCATCTTTGTATAAATACAAAGAATATACACATATATCTATATATATCCAAATTCGTCCTATATTCTATCTCCTTGATATGCTCTACCACGATCAAAATTTGGAGGAGACCACTCTTGAAGAACGAGTTGTGGAAAAACATTTGGTTTTAACAAAGAAGTTCCAAGAAGCATATTTACGCATTCTTGAAATCCTTGAGTAACAGTTGGATAAGCAGTGCGAAGCTCGCTCAAATTGTAAAGTGTTTCTTTATTATGAATTGCCAATGAGGCCAATTCTATAACACTACTTGCATGAGGTCCTATGGCTCGCACACCAAGAACTTGCATCTCGCGATCATTTGTAACAATTAATTTAACAAATCCCCTGGTATTTCCCATAGCCACAGCTCGGGCCACAAATTCATATCCATAACGAGCCATTTTGTATGCTATATTTTGTTTCCGGCATTGCTGCTCATTCAATCCAACTGCAGCAACTTCTTGATCCAAAAACATAATTGTAGACAAATTATCTAATCGTTGAACAAATTCACCCTCAGGATGAGGATGATAAATGTGGTCAATACAAGAGCGTCCTTCCAATTCTCCAACGTTTACAAGAGCAAATTTGGTAGCCACATCCCCACATGCATAAATGTGCTTGTGGGGTTTTACACGATTAAACTGATCTCTTTCAAGTTTCCCTCGTTGAAGCCCTACTCCGATATTTTCCAACCCCAGACCACTTAAATTGGGTTCTCTTCCAATGGAAACTAAAGCATTGTCCACAATATGCGTCGTCAATTTGTTGTCTATTAAATTCCTCAATGTGTAATGAAATTGTCCATTTTTGACTTTATTACTTTCCAGGGCTGAATGATGATGAAAAGTAACCCCTTTATTTTCAAGTAGTTTTTGGACAAACTCTGCCACATCATCATCTTCCATGGGTAAAATACGATTGCTCTTTTCGATGACGTTAACTTTTGTCATACCAAAGTTTGCAAATATAGAAGCGAATTCACAACCAATCACACCCGCACCAATTATAACAATACTCTTCGGAAAAGCCCTATTCATGATATCATCTGAGGTAAAGACCACTTTACCGTCCCAAGTCACAGAAACATGTTTCCGTGGTTGAGCTCCACAGGCAATAACAAAATAATCCGCCTCCACCCTCTCTGTGCCCCCAGAAGCAAGTTGAACATCTACAGAATGAGGGGACATGAATGACCCATATCCCTCAATAACATCAATATCAACAATTTTCAGTTGATGAACTATTTGAGTATATCGAAGCTCAGACGCATTTTTAATGGCTTTTTGTGCATTTGAAGAGTCGATTGGGGGAAGAGGCATAAGGGGTTTCATAAACCGGCTTGCCGTTTGACCAGTCATTAATCGGACAAATTTAGACATTTCCCATAAAGTCTTGGACTGCAATGCGCCATTCCAAAGGTCCGCTCCTCCAATTCGATTCGCTTCAACAATGCATGCCTTTTTTTTATAGTCAACCGCACGTAAAGCCGTGGCAATACCTGCGGGACCGCCTCCAATCACACAAACATCAACTTTTTTTAGTCCCCAAAAGTAGCTACGATGTAACATTATCTCTGATTATGAACTGAAAAAAAAATAATAAATAAATAAATAAATAAATAACATGAATGAATGCCAACAAAATTAAAATAGAATTGTAAGAATAATCAATTCCGCAAAAAATAAAATCAAACACCGGCCATTTTCTCCTTTCTGCCGTCACAACCCCTGAGAACAACACGCTCTCCTGAATCCGGCCGCCTTCGCCCCGCTCTTCCGTTCACTCCCCGCGAACTCAAAAACAAGTCGGAATTCGCACTTTCAATAAGAAAAGGCTTTTTGTTCTTATCGCGCGCGACGGGCATCCCAGTAACCAACCCAATCCCACAGCACCGCGGAACAAAACAACAACAAAAAATACGACGCAAAATTTCACAAAAACAAAAAAATTCACGAAACTTCCGCGGCCTTCTTTTTTCAACACCACACTTAGCCACAAACGTCGGAGTCACCATACCCAAGTGGTTACGGGGACTGACTAGAAATCAGTTGCGATCTCGCGCGCAGGTTCGAATCCTGCTGGTGACGACTTTTTTTCACCTTCCAACCATTGAGCCTGGCAAACGGATACGTTTCTTTATTATACTTTTACTATCTTATGTAAGTGGGAAGAACACAACTTTAAAAGTTGGGGAAGAGATGGCGGCTGAATAAATTTTTATTTTTGTTTTTACCATCCCACATTTGATTCCCACCACGCGGCTGCTTCTTGCGGCTGGAGGAGCCCAAAGTCTTCCACTTTTTAGGTTGTGAATACACACACACAAACGCATTTATATATATGTACATGCGTTTCCAATCCGAATGGAGCGATCAAGTTACGATAATAGCCACCATAATGTGCATATATAAATATGCGCTCACTTGGTGTAAACGCTCACCGAGGATTTGGCGAACTCCGTCCCCACACCATTCGCCCCTTCTCATTCCGGTCTTGTGTGAATTCTATTGACGTCTGCGGGGTCCGGTCAGTGGCCCAAGTGAATATTCTAGGAGCTTTTTGTGTGTGTTTTTGCTTTTGTCGTCACGGCAATTTGGCTTTTGTTTTTTTTTGTGATTTATGTTTTACATTTGGGGCGCTT